AAAAGTTCCACATCAATAAACCAGCGTTTGTGCTATGAGAGATATATATTTCATGACACAGTAGTACTAAATTAAATTAAACATTTGCCAGAGCTCAGACTACAGTGTGGGCGCAGCCATCATTCTGTTGCTGCTCGGTTGACTTTGGTGGCGTACGTGCTGCCAGCGTATGTGGCTGCAGAACCGAGCTCTGCGGCTCTACAGTGTGACGTGAATTAACACGGCTCTCCAAAGGATACGGGTCACATTTCCTCTGCTTTCACTTAACTGTGCCACCTCATGGATGTGCATTAACTTTTCCCCCCTTTAATTTCCATGTTCAGAGAAATAAGGAAAATATCTGCTGCCATTTGTTGCATTTGAAGTTCTCTGAAAGCCGAGTGCATGTAATTTTTCAAAAGAAACCAAAGACTGAAAGTATTTTTTTCATCCCCTCTCCTGTTACTAGGAAAGTAGTTAACTTAAGACCCTGATTAACATTCCACTGAGCTGCGTCAAATGGTTCTTCCTCTTATTGTTATTTAGCTTTACAACATTTTCTACCAACTCACTCATAGCAGCTGTTTCAGTACAATGGGAAAAAAAGAAAATGAGTAACATTTTAGTGGGTTATTTAATGGGAGCCTGGAACTGGCAAAACATAAAACTGCATTCAGAAATGTTGCATCTAAGGGAACTGCAGCCTTCCTAATGATAGCCCAGGTTTTGGGGTTTTTTTGTCTCAGTTTCACTGAGAAATTCAGAGCAACAGTAGAAGCTTCTGCTTATTCTCATGGACAACTACACATAAAAAATACGCACAGAACATTTTGTAACAAATTGAGCCTGGGTGATTTCTCATGCGTACACTGCAGGTAAGTACAAAGGTAACTGGCTATGCGCAAAGAGAGCTGAGACCTCTGCAAGTTCAGGCACTGACAGTCCCGCCACGCCATTGCTCAGAGAGGAACCTCTTCTTCTGCAGGTGGCCTGCTGACGAGTCAAAGACGGGACCGGGTTCCCAGGCAGGATGAGTAGGGGCGGGTAGGCGTGGAAGACCCTCTTCTCACTGCCCAGGGCTGACACTGCGGCAGACAAGCAGTCTGTGTACCGCTGCGTGAGCTACAGCTCCTGGAGGGATCAGGAAAACGCTCACATCACTTTCTGTATTCACGAGCTGGTGTTTGAATTCAAATTAAGTTCCCTTTTATTTAGGAAGCATTCAGGGATGGTCTGAGAAAAAATGAAGGCCATACCTTCAGGCCTCCTGCTGTGTTGCATCAGGTTGCCCTTGTCCCTTCTCCACAGACACGCTTAAACGCAGTGACGGATCTGTTAGGTTGGGGCTGTTGAACCCAAGGCATACTGCACGCGTCCTGGAGCACTGTGGTGCTTAAGCAGATTTACTAGGGGGTTATGGAAAGTGCCCAGACATAGCTTTCCTGTGTGCCTCTTAACCATCACTCTTTCTCGTCCATTCTTCAGGTCTCAGGGGGACGGAAAGCAAACCACAGGACAGATGATGACAGCCTTGGCACATTGCCTTAAAGCGAAGACGGTGCAACGAGGAAGGAGCATGCACACTAACCTACCTGTGATTTCTTCCAAGTTTATTCACACAGGATGATGGTGAGAGTTTTTGCAGATTTAGGCACGTTGGTTACATATTTTTTTCTTCATTCTCTTTTTGCTTTGACTGCTGGGAAAATCAGCAGTGGAATGGAAAGCGGCAAGGGAAAAGAGGAGCCAGACAAACTATTGTACCATTTGCCCCCACTTCTATTGATGCCAAGGAGCAACCTTGTGAACTCTGAGTCCCTTGAAAGGGGAATAGGCTTTCCATTTTGTAGTCCAGGTAAAACTATACCTGCTGTTAAACTATTTTCACCAGCACTACACGTGCCCTTGTTTATACTTGCACCCCAAAGCTAACCTTGTCACTGTAGATGCACCGAGTGAGTAACCAAATGGGCCAGGGTTCGGTTTGTGTTTGCCTGCACAGAACTTGGAGAATACAGGACTAGGGGAGAGAAGTAGCAATTCAACGTCCACAGCAAGAATCTACTCTACTAGCAATTCCTAGGGTCTCTCAAACCATCCTTCTGTCATGACTGAATAGCTGCCATTTATGTTTCCTTAAAACCTATTCAAAACCCATGGTCTAAATAAACTGAGCATTTATTCTCTTTTACATAAAGACTGACAAATCCTTTTATATAGTTGTAGCTGTTTAAGACAGAAAGTAAGTCTCTGACTCCACAAGGAAGAGGGAGGAACTCAATCAAGCCTTACTGCTAACAAGTATGACATACAAGAACTGGTAGTGTTGTCATGAAATATGTAATAATACTTACAAATATGTACTGATCACGCAGAGTAAGGTGTGCAGAAAGCATCTGAAATGTTCATAGAAATATCACCCAGCAGTTCAGGTGCTTTTATTTCTGGAACACCTCTAACATTTCTCTCGGTTGTCACCCACGATACAATGATTTTGCCTGCACAGCGCCAAGCTCACCAGGCAAACGATGCTGCAGGAAGAGTCATTATGCTCTGGGAAGCTAGTGAAAGGCTACTTTCTCTCAATGGTTTTTGGTTCATAGTTACCTTGTAAGATTGAAGTTAACATGACAGAGTTAAACACTGCTCTCAAACACTTTCAAACAAGCTTGTGTTTATAGCAAGTACAGTATTATTGGTTATTTGCATTCCAGTATCATCTAAAGGCACTAACAGATATGTCATGGAGGGCCTGAGTAGTAGCAGGAGCCACAAGAACGAGCAGCCCAGATTTCACACACGTGCCCAACCACTGCTGGGCACTCACAATTACAGTTTCACCCCAGCTGCCCATACAAATGCCAGGCTCATGTGCACAAAACAGGCATATTCAAAGATACAGATATATTTGACCAACTAGGTTTTCTCAGTACAGAGTAATTTAGTAAGACAATACATGAAAAACCCCGGTAAATCTTCAGCTGCGAATAAAACTGCCACTGCCTGGGAGCCAGGGCATGACTCCCTGTCACACCATCACTATTTGAAGGACAGTACTGTGGGGCGGCTTGAGTTCCCTTGATTTTTCCTCAGAAAATTTCCACTAGTAACTAATAATTGGTGGTGGGAGAACATTTGTGTAGCTGATGTCCATAAGTGGGATTTCACAACCAGTTAAGCCAGTCAAAGACCTTGATGCTGCCAAAGGGGTGTGGGAAACAGAAATGGCCCTTCTTATAGCACCATCTGCTTATGTTGGGTTAGGTATTATATCAAACCCTTTGTCTCATCTATAAAATATGGATAAAACCTATGATATCAGAGTGGGGTGTGAGGCTTAATTTAAAAACTAGCAAGAGCTCTGGGTTACCTGGTATAGGAAGTTAAGTGCAAGGTTCTGTCAGTTGAAAACGCAGCCTGCTAATAACTGCCATACTGGCATAAATGGCAAATAAAAAGTGTGCTGGAAGGAAATACTCTACATTCCTAAATAGCCCATCAAAGTGCTCCGCTGCAGTGATGAAACCCATGTGCTGTTCAGTTCCCCAGAAAGTGTATTCCTCCCAAACACAGCATGGCTGCCATGAATTAGGCTCCTGGAAAAAAGATTCTCTCTTCAGGACTCTGTACTGCTACCACAGCCTGGAGAAAGACAGGAGTGGAAAGATGAAACAGGACAAAAGATTATATACAAAAGAGTGTGACAAAAAGTTTTTTTTTTTCAAACACGGCAGCTTTGCACAATACAATAACGTGAATCCCTTGCCCCTTGCTATTACAGCATCAGCCTTCGTGACAGAGGTTCTTGTGGGCAATTTCAGCAGAGGACAAGATTCAGAAGGACATGGTAATCAAATGTGTGTCCCAGCACAGGCCGAGGCATACTGGCAGTACAGTCCTTACGGCCACCAAACCCATTCCGTGGTTAAGAAGAAAATCTCCAGTCTTCAACCGGTATTCACCCACCTGTTTTAACTGAGCGTTAAAACAGATCCAATGTCAATATCCAGTACACATCCTCAGATTCTAGGATAGCACTAGCTTTATCAGACCAACACAAGAACGCAAAGGTGTAAGTATAGAGCCTTCTACTTCAACAGGATGACTGAAAAGTGCTCCCTCCCTAGCAGAAAGGAATAAGCACACCAGAGGTTATGGGGTTCTTCTTGCATTTGTCTTGGGCTGTGGTAGCTGCATGAATCAGATGCTGAAAGGGTCCGGCATGAAGCAGAATCTGATTTAAATGAACTGTACACACAACCATGTGCACTTTTTAAAAAAAGAAAAATAGTATTAAAATTTTGGTTTCATTTCCCCCTTTCCCACTTCCCTTTCTCAGTTGACAGTCAACCAGCTGGTTAACTGCTCTGAACGTGCACACTCATTCCCACGTTTAACCAGCGCTCCCAGCGGGGCACTGTGCAGCCATATGCTACACCACCACTTTTTAATATTGAACCACAGCACACTGCCACTTCCTTACGCTGGTGGCTGCGCTCTGAGTGACAGCACCTGCAGGAGCTCAGCAAAAGCAATTGCTTCACAGAGAAGCAAGATACAGTTGATATAGCTTCTTGCCACAGAACGCAGCAGGAAAAGGGAGCTGTTGCCTCCAGAGACAATATGACCATGATGGATGATGTCTTGCTGTTACGTGGTTCCTGTTGAGTGTGTGACCATGCTCTACTCTGGTTTTGCTCCTCCTATGAACACCTCATATAGATCTTAAAAGGGAAGATAAGTATCTGACAATACATGTAAAAATTTTAACCCAAAGCAAACTTTCAGGAAGCCTTTTCCAAACATGTATGAAGTGTTCAGGTTTTTTCTTAACCAAACAACAAAAAGTACCCCAGTTCAACAGCCTTTTTAGCGAAGCCAGATGGTAAAAAGATGATAAAGTGGAACAGAATACAGCAAGCTCACATTTTCCACAAGGTTACTCCCCTCCCCTATTTAAAAATACCCCCAATTATTTCTTAAATAGCATGACTTTTTAAAACAAAATCACAGACAATTTTAATAAAAACCATAATGTGTGAAATATTTTGGAATATCCCTTAAAACACGTTTCCACCTTTGACCACCTCTAAAGCACAAAAAAGCCTTCAGTAAAGCGAGAAGTCTGCTGCAACTTTTATGCAAGTTAATAGCACTGACTACTCAGCAAGAAAAAAAACCACAGTCAAGCCTTCACTTCAGAGCACTATTTACTTAAAGATGAATTACTTGACCTTTTGGCAGTGTACAATGGAACAGAAGTCAAAGACACACAAGTTCTTCCATTCTCTAAACAAATTCAGCCCCATATCTATAACAAATTACCTTTGTGTTAGAATAGAGCACGCTTTTTGGAACAAAATGTTTAAGCTAATAAAGCTTCATGGAAGCCTCAAAGAGGGCAGATAAGTCTTCTTCTGTTTGGGGACGTGGTGATAGTTTAGTCACTCTCTCCTGCAAGATTAAAGAAAAACTGGATTATAGAAGGTTGCCAATAAAATTAACCAAACAGTAGCTGAACTATGTGCCTTTGTACTAACGTCCTTCACAGAGAATAACAAGGCTTTGCAAATAAGTAATCAAGTAATTAAGGTTGAAGCATCATCAACTGTACAGTACTTTCAAGAATATATTAGTTTAAATTGCCTATAATTAAATACACGGAAGCAAGATTAAAATGCAGTTCAGCTGCAAAGTCAAGTACTTCAAACACAGGTCTTGTCAGTCACAGATGTCAGTACAGTGGTAGGTAGTATCCTGGGAATACAGTTCATTTTAAAATTCATTTGTCAGCATTGCAACTAGGAGGCCAATTTTTAGGGACCAAGATGTTCAAAAGAAAACATGTCTCAAAGCCCAGGAACTGCCATAGATGGGGAGACTAAGCAGCGCTTGCAACTCAGACTCTGAAAAAGAGGCACAGCAAGGGATGGTAGTGAAACTGCTGAACAGCTAGCCTGACACTTTGGAATCAGAATACAAAATAGTTGCGGTTGGTCTTCATTTGGATGGTGATTCAACAGAATTTTCAGCTGCTGAAGTCCCACCAACTGAAATGAAACTCAGGTATATGCTTCACTGTCCTGCTTGACAAAATAACCACAAAGGCAGGGATGGCAATTCAGAAAAGCCCCACGCCACCGAGGAGGTGGAGCTCTATTAGCGCAGGTATTCAGTTACTGCAGAAACACGCAGCTGAAAGGGCCTAACATTAGTGTACTGGTTACGATCAGTACTTTTATGCTTTCAACAATCAATGATTTTAACATTTATGGAAAGATTGGGGAGAGTTACAAACATCTGCAAAGACAGAGGCCAGGCCTACACTAGGAACGCGTTATCTTTAGATGAATGCGGTGTATTTTGGCAAGATGGAGTTTCTTCTGTTACCACCTGTTTCAACATCTCCCTCGTGGAAGAGGCTGTCCCAGCAAAAGCTCTAAATTTCCCCCCCCTTTTTCACACGTGAGACGGTGGATGTCGTTTGCTAGGGGCCTTGCCTGATGCACCAAGTGGGATGCCGGGGAAGGGGCTCCTCCAGCCCCCCTGCCTTGGGGGGAGGCTCAGCTCGGACAGCCTCCCGAGCGGAGCACACACCGCCGCCGCAGCGCAATGCCGCAGCGCAATGCTGCAGCGCAACGCTGCAGCCGCTCCACTTCCCTCTCAACCCACGGGGCTGCAATTTGTGGACAGGCTGGATGTGGTTACACAGCAAAAGAGGCCGCTGCACTGTGAATTTAATGTGAAAGGTTGGTCTAGCGTGGTGAGGAAGTCAGCTGTGAGATATTCACAGTTCATAATCACGGTCAGCACGGTTAGCATGGCTTGTGATGAGTCTGAAAAGTGCAGCTTTGTGTGCGTAACTCTACCTCGACGAGAAGCTTTGCTGGTGCAGCAGTAGCAATCCAAGGATGCCTCTTTCCCCATCCCTGACCAGCGCTGCTATGCACACAGATCCAGCCAAAGAACAGGCTAAGATTCTTCTATGCAGTTTTGAAACCAAACGGAAAATTCAAACATCACTAGGGCAAAAGTATGTTGGTTTTTTTCAGACTCAAAATATGCAAAATAGAACAACTCGGTGCTCAAGTACTCAGTAAATTCATCAGGCTCGTATTAGGACACTCTGGGCCAAATTACAGTTTTGCAGCCCTGTGCACCAAGATGGCCAGAGTTATCTGTAAAGTCACACAGGGTGACAGGAGACGATCACCCTGACAGGCTGTAGCATTTCCCAGCTATATCAACAGAAGGCTGCAAATGGATGCTCCTCCTGTACGCCTCGACACAGAGGCACCAGTGCTCCCTCGGCACAAGCCTGCTGGTATTTGCTGGTACCCAGACAGCAAGGCCCCAGCTCACCCAGTCTGACTCAGTGCACTCTGGTATAGTGCCAAAAATGAGCAACTCCTGGCTCATCAGTGGTTCAGCCCCAGTGTAGCTGCCTCAGGGATCTCTGCAGGGGGTGAGTGGGCTAGAGAACAGCCCTTCCACCAGCTCTCATTTTCAGCCCTCCCCATCTCCCCTCAAACACCATCACAGGGCTGGCCACCTTAGACCTTGGGACAGCATCTTCCTTGCTAGACTCACTGCTGTCTGTAAATAGGATCAATTTCAATAGACTCACTTAGAAAGGAAAATAAAATTCTGTTTTAACTTCGAGTATAAATGTTTGTCCCAGCAGAGCTCCCACCCCAAACCCTGGCAGATTAGATTAGGTTTTGTTTTCCTGCAGCCTGCGCTTCACAGTGTGGAATACACCCCGCACGCTTATTAGTGCTGTCACCACTGTACCACTCTGCCTTGTCGATGTGAATGGGTCAGTGCTGTATTCCAAAGAAAACCTACTGCAAGATGAAAAAAAAAAAACAAAACAACTAAAAATTAAACTGTATGGACTACCTCTGTGGGTAATAATGGACTATTAAGGAACACTAACACATTTTCATCGTGCTACATCTCATATACAAAAATGAGGTTTGAGAAACTATTAGGTTATCTCATTTACACAATACAATTAATCATCAATGCCGTGAGATGACAATAAATGAATTAAAAGTCAATTTGAGCTAAGCTAACAAACAAACAAAAAACAGCTTCAACATCTTTTGGTGAAGAACCTTCCTCCTCCCCCAGCTATGCAAAACATGCCTTCAGTCAGATGTTGTGCTTCTGATGACCCAAACCCAATTGTTTTAAAGGAACATATTTATCAAAACAAACCTCCAAAACGCCCCGTAACAATTTACATGCATAACCTATTGGATGGGTGCTCAGGGACCTTAGTTTTCTTCCTGGCTTTACCACTGCTCTGTTGTGTGTGATCCTAAGTAGTTGTACCTTTGTGTCATTCTCTCAGGTACAAAATAGGAATATTAGTATTTACGTTCTGTTATAAGTTGCTTCTTTATGAATGAGAAGCACTAGACATGGTAAGAGGAACTGCTGTAAAAAGTGAATAACCTTTCAGCCTTCAAAATTTTCATTTTCTCTGTAGTGTTTATTTCCCTTGCTACTTGTTAGAAATAAATCCTAAGTGGACAGAACAGTCCATAGCATATGAATCAAACTGTCTTTTTACAAGGAAGATGCCGGATTTTGCTTTTGGAGTGGTGTGTTGCTTTTTGCCGTGTCTTTGTGAGCACTGAAACAATAAAGGGTATTACAAGTTTAATCTATATCATCCCAGGGGACCTTATTTCAAATTCTGATGGGGGTCACTGGAACAAAAAAGCCATCTGGGAAGAAAAGTGCAACTTCTCAATATGGAAAAGTTTAATGCAAAGTGAGCTCGATCATTCTTACCAGATAGCATTTGGTATTAAGGCTTTATCTATAACCCATCCTGCATACATAATTAACAGAGAGAGTTATGATAAAGCAGTATCTTCTACAAAAACCAAAGGTCTATGAAAAACATCCTCTTTTTTAAAAATGTGACAGAAAAAAAAAACCAAACGGAAAACAAACACCTAGCCATTCTTTCTGAATCCATGTGAAGACCAGACTGCAGCATGCACTCCATCTCACTGAAAAAACTAAACTGTGCAGAGAAACAAAATACAGTTGACTATCCATAATTTTCTCCATTTTAATTGTTTTCATGTAGGACTAGAAATAACATTTGCTTGAAAAGAAACACTTCTGATTTTTTCAAATATCTGCTCTTTTTATTTGACAAGAAAAACTGTTTTGCTTTCTGTCTTACCTGAGGCAGAGTGCCTTTGACTAATGCGGGGATGTCTGCTTTAGAATAACCAATTGCAGCTAAGCCATCATCAACATTCAGATCAAACAGGAATTTCCGGAGCGTGTCTGCCAAAATAAACCCCGCATCTTTGATTCTGGCAGTGCGGATGTCAGCTCCTAAAATAAGACATAATGCCTTGACTGTAGGGTAGAGAGAGAGGAGGAAGCCTGTTCTGGACTTAATTTAATCATAATATCAGCTGAATACATATCCATACATAACAGTCACTGCCCTAAAAGCAACACGAAGTAAAAAGAGGAATCACTTTTCATTTTATAGTTGGAATAGTTTGTAAAGGGTGAAATAAAACAAGATCAGGAGAAGCAGGTAACTGCTGCCAGAAAGACTAACTGCCATATGAGGTTAACTTCCTTTCCCTCTGCGCTTACAGGGAGAAGCACTTTTCGGTCTGACTAACTGCTGGGAGGAAAGAAGCTAAGGCATGAACGTCAGTGGTATTTATTTTTATGAACATTGTGCCAAACGCTAACTTTAAGGCCTTGAGTTTGCTGACATCTAGAGGAGATGGAAACCACTGACTATTCTGTTCAATTACACATTCAAAGAGAGGACTAGAGCATGTAGGCTGAGAAACACAGGAGACGACAGGGCAGTGTTCAAGGGGTTAAGTAAATCCTAAACTTAATGCTATTAGACTATGTGCTGACTTGCGTAGGATAACGTAGAACTGAAGAGGAGGAACTGGCATCTTTGAAACACCTACTGAACAGTAATGAAAGCATCAATATAAAATTAACAATATTTCTTACACAATAGCTTGCTTCCCCTCCTTCAGTGAATGGTCAGGACTTATTTAAAAGTAATAATAAAAACATGTCCAGATAGACATTCCTCCATACGATTTCTTTTCAAAGTAAGCTGAGCTATATTTGTTCTCTGTGTAACCTCCATGATGTTACACCAGAACTATGTTAGGTCCAAGTGCCATACTGAGAGATGACTGTGAGCACAACATAGCTACAGTAAAAATATTTTCTGTGATCCTCACACAGTTCAGTGTAACATTCAAAGGGGGCTAAGTGAACAGGAGACCAACATGCTCATTCGAGGAGCTCAGGCATTCGGGTAGTAAGACTGGCAGTACTGTTGTAGAGAATGGGAAAAATTGATAAATAAGGTATGACAGAGTCTTGTACGAAGTCTTATGCTATTGGGATTATGCCATGCAGTCTGAGTTTACCCTGGGTTTTGCTGTGGACAACTAACTGGGACGTAAATCCAGTATCTTCAGATTGTAAAGTAAAAGGGAAAGTGAGGAGGGAAAAAAAGGACAGTAAATGTGAAGGGCAGTTTGAAAATACTGCTATAGTTCTAGTACTTTTTTGCTCAACCTAAAGGATACATCAGTCTTTGATTGCATTTAGAAAATTTCTGGCCACATGCACACCTATTTCAACTGTTTAAGAATCCACCCAGGGAGGTATTAAGCTTTTTCTGGCTGTACCCAAATTCACAGCTGTAGATACACACAACATAACTATTTAGTAATCTGCTCCATGTCATAAAATACCTTCTTAGTCATTGCATTTGGCAACATGACAGATTTGAATCAGCTACTGTAGTCGGTTGGACTCTGGACTGGAATCAGAAGCAAACACCCCAGGTGGGAATTAACAAATGCAATTCCACGTGACATGGTTTCGGCAAAGTCCCTTTACAGCCAGTCAGACAATAACATAGTTTACATTTCTTTTGAGAAAATTAACAGTGTCCTGGTTTTGGCTGGGATAGAGTTAATTTTCTTCCTAGTAGCTGGTATAGTGCTGTGTTTTGGATTTAGCATGAGAATAATGTGATAGCACACTGATGTTTTAGTTGCTGTTACACGAAGTCAAGGACTTTTCAGCTTCCCATACTCCCTTCAGTGAATGGTCAGGACTTATTTAAAAGTAATAATAAAAACATGTCCAGATAGACATTCCTCCATACGATTTCTTTTCAAAGTAAGCTGAGCTATATTTGTTCTCTGTGTAACCTCCATGATGTTACACCAGAACTATGTTAGGTCCAAGTGCCATACTGAGAGATGACTGTGAGCACAACATAGCTACAGTAAAAATATTTTCTGTGATCCTCACACAGTTCAGTGTAACATTCAAAGGGGGCTAAGTGAACAGGAGACCAACATGCTCATTCGAGGAGCTCAGGCATTCGGGTAGTAAGACTGGCAGTACTGTTGTAGAGAATGGGAAAAATTGATAAATAAGGTATGACAGAGTCTTGTACGAAGTCTTATGCTATTGGGATTATGCCATGCAGTCTGAGTTTACCCTGGGTTTTGCTGTGGACAACTAACTGGGACGTAAATCCAGTATCTTCAGATTGTAAAGTAAAAGGGAAAGTGAGGAGGGAAAAAAAGGACAGTAAATGTGAAGGGCAGTTTGAAAATACTGCTATAGTTCTAGTACTTTTTTGCTCAACCTAAAGGATACATCAGTCTTTGATTGCATTTAGAAAATTTCTGGCCACATGCACACCTATTTCAACTGTTTAAGAATCCACCCAGGGAGGTATTAAGCTTTTTCTGGCTGTACCCAAATTCACAGCTGTAGATACACACAACATAACTATTTAGTAATCTGCTCCATGTCATAAAATACCTTCTTAGTCATTGCATTTGGCAACATGACAGATTTGAATCAGCTACTGTAGTCGGTTGGACTCTGGACTGGAATCAGAAGCAAACACCCCAGGTGGGAATTAACAAATGCAATTCCACGTGACATGGTTTCGGCAAAGTCCCTTTACAGCCAGTCAGACAATAACATAGTTTACATTTCTTTTGAGAAAATTAACAGTGTCCTGGTTTTGGCTGGGATAGAGTTAATTTTCTTCCTAGTAGCTGGTATAGTGCTGTGTTTTGGATTTAGCATGAGAATAATGTGATAGCACACTGATGTTTTAGTTGCTGTTACACGAAGTCAAGGACTTTTCAGCTTCCCATACTCTGCCAGAGAGGAGGTGCAGAGGAAGCTGGGAGAGGGCACAGCCAGGACAGCTGACCCAGACTGGCCAAAGGGCTATTCCATACCATATGATGTCATGCTCAGTATATAAACTGGGGGGAGTTGGCCGAAGGACAGTGATCGCTGCTCGGGGACGGGCTGGGCATCAGTCAGCAGGTGGTGAGCAATTCCATTGTGCCTCACTTGCTTTGTATATTCTTTTTCCATTATTTTTGTTGTTGTTGTTGTTGTTGTTATTATTATTATTATATTTCAATTATTACACAGTTCTTATCTCAACCCATGAGTTTTTTTCACTTTTACTCTTCCTATTCTTTCCCCCATCCCACTGTGGGGGGAGTGAGCAAGCAAGTGGCTGTGTGGTGCTCAGTTGCCAGCTGGGATTAAACCATGACAGAGCTTTTATAGACAGAATTTATGGCAGCAGTTGATACCACAAAACCTAAAAGAACGGCTTTTTAACCACCTGTTTTAAAATCAAGGAGCCACAGTCAATTTCTCTGATATGCAGTGCTGGCCAGTTATCCAGAAATATTTTCTTAGTCTACTTTGAGTTGTATGTTATTGCTGCAGGAACACAGACATTTTGCAGCTTAGTATATGATTCCAACTAGGTTTTATGTTCTGGTTTTGACCATAGGCAGGACTGCATACCTCACAGGAAGGCTGAACAAACCTCATAGCCAACATTTATAAAATAAATGGAATTTTCCCCCAATGTATTTTTTCTGACCATGTTGTTTTACATCCTCTTTAAAATACTGTGATATTTTCATTGTCTATATAGAAGTCCCACTCTTCTTCGAAACCCACAATGCTTTCAGATTACTTATACAAGGAAGTCATACATGTGACTGGATTGCTGTGACTTGCATACTGTGGTGGTGCATCTTTAAGCGACCTAACCACTCATCTGTAACACATAGAGAAGGCTGACCATACAAGGGACTGAACACAAATTTTCCAAATACCGGGAGAGTTGCCCTAACCACTTTCTCTCTACTCTCTACACTGCTGTGCATGTGACTGTGATTGCTCATTAGCAAGCATGGGTATTAGCAGCAGTTTAGCTACAACAGAGTCTAGTGCAAACAAAAAACCTGACCTTATATATAAATACATCAGCCCACCGCAGAGCCATGCTGTCACAGCCAGACTGCTAACAGCTCCAAGATTACATCACTGAAAGCTAGTTTATTACACACAGTCATGCTGGGGTGCAACGAAGAGGTATCCTTTCTCTAGGACACCTTCTGGTGATGGGTTGCACAGATAACAAAGCACTGTAGGAAAAGATAATCTTTAAATGAGCTGTCAGCTTACAGCATTTACTTTTATTCTGCTAAGAAGCAGAAAAGGCCACTTTGTTCATTAACTCACTTATGAGCCATCACAGATGTGTCCACAGAATAGCTACTCCATGCTTTCCCTTGACATTGGCCACTGAGAAATTCCAACACCTACAAACAAGTTTAGGCCTACATTAGAAAGACTGAAACCCACAGTTGCGTGCCACTGAAAAAGAGCAGGAGTGATTCGGAACATCGCTCTGTCCTAATTCATTGCCACAGCAGGAATTTTGTTAGGCAAAATGCTTCCTTTTAGCTAACAGATGCACCCAAGTACTGGTTTGTTTTATGGTATCTACTCTAAAGTAACTACTCTGCATAAAGCACCAACAGCATGCCAATCACAGCTACTCTCTCCTGATTCGTAACAGATCTACAGCCAATTTCAGCTGTCCAGTTTTCTAGCCAAGAAGCAGATTTCTCCAGCTTGCTTCTCTAACTACATCATCCATTATCAAAATTTAGCATTATTCTACCTAAGTTTGCATTATGTGTAACTCGGACTCCAGAATCTTGTTTTTTAAACTTAAAACCTCTGCAACAACTAACTACAATTGCTTGTACACATTTTTTTTTTCCCTCCCAAAAAGACATTCTGGAAAGAATTCCATTTGTATGAGTAATTTGTATCCATAGAGATTCCTACCTAGTATCTCTGCAGCTTCCAAGTGCCGCTCAGGATGTATCTGTGCAGTGAAAGCAAACACTGCTGGGGATGTCAGCACCACAGAAAGGCCATGTGGCTGGGGCGAAAAGAAAAAAAGGAAGAAAAAAGAATAAAATCACATTAACAGGACATGTACTTTCAACTTGAATGTGCTTTAATGCTTATTAATGTGAGATAACAGAGAATTTAAATGTATAATATGAAAACAAAGATAAACCAAGTTTTACCACTAAAGAGTGATCCACATTATAATCCTTTGGTTTATAAGTTTTCACCAAACCAGAAATAGGGTAAGACATTCCATGGCTGGAATAGAGAGCAGAGAGAAAGTCGTTAGGGCAGCTCTCCTGGTATTTGGAAAACTTGTGTTTAGTCCCTTGTGCGGTCAGTCTTCTGTATGCAAGTCCCTTAGGTACAGGTACTCAAAAGGTATTTAGGTACAGATATGGTATGGATATTAGGTACAGACAACCCTCACCCTTCCGCACCTTAGGGACCTAGCTGTCAAAGCCAGCACCTCCTTACTTTGTGAGTGTGAACTTATATTACTCCACTGACTGGACTGAGAGATGTTCAGTTACTACAGTAATACAGATACGCCAAAAATAGTATAATCAGCATCCCTACCTGATCACACTGCCTGAGAAAAATAAACATTAATTTTGAAGTATAATTAAAGAGTGGATTTGCTCAAACAAAAGGAATGAAAGGAAGGTCTCTGAAGAGAATGACTGCTAATAACTTCTCCGCACAATTCAGGCTCAGGCTTTGCTTCTCTGAGATTTTCACCCATAGAAAACTACATTGCCTTGCAATATCAATTACAGCTCATTTCGGCCTGCTAAATGCCTACCCCACAGACAAACTTACAGACAATTGCATCAGTTCAGGAATGGCACAAAATTACCTCATTGCTGTCTCACTGCAGAACAGCTGGCATGAAAATCAACATTTTAAATGCCATTGATGTTTTTTTTTTCCCCTAACTATGGTTTTTACTATCAAAGAAGGTAAAGAAGGCCATGTTTCGTAATTTTCACGTGATTGGATTTGAGTATCACATGCCAGAATACACAATCCTCATTCACAAAAATGCCAAGAGCCCATCAATTTCTCACAACACATGGCTCCCCCTGCATCACAGGCCATGCTACAATGTCTTATTATATATTCAGCAACAAAGGCAGTGATGTCTTTGACTCTCTGAAACAAACACTAGCTAGAAGCTGAGCTCGGATGGGGTTAACATTTTTCTGTACTCACCAGAGATGAACACCAGCATTGCCAAAGCCAATACCAGCAAAAGCACTTGCTAGGTGCATGTTGGCTCTTGCTTCACGGTCTTCAGGGTTTCTGATGGCTCTGTGCACCATGGAGACAATGGTACCAGTGAATTCACAAACGGATTGGTAATTCAGGATGGAGAAGCGAGAGAGGGCTGCTTTATCGACAGAAACCTCTAAGATAAGCTGAGATGAAAACGCTGGAAATAGGACCAATTCACACTTCAGTCAGAGAACAATCCTGCTTCTGGATCAGTAAGTAGATCAAACTGGTTCAGCGAAGGGCAAGTTTCCTTTCACTTTTCTAAAAACTGAGTAAATAGAGTGAATTTAGCCATATTCACCTCAGTGGTGGTTTCAACAATTCTACTTAGGAGCTTTGACAATCCTATGTACGGCTCCAAGATCACCCCAGCTTTCTCACCGTCTCATTAGGTGGTGGTCTAGACCCCACCATCTGTGCGGGAAGAGGACAGGGTTCCTTGCCTTCCTACGCATCCGACTGCTTGTGTAGTTTGACAACATGGAGAAAAAGTCTCATGAATAGATTCCACAGGAACAATAAACAACTACTTTGACTAGACAGGTACTGTAAAAAAGTCTTTTACAAAAAAAAAACCCACGTTGATCTTTAATAGAAGTGCACATGGTATACAAAAGCTGTATACAGGTTAAAACCTTATTGGTAGGGATCAAAACTAACTCCCAGTTAAGTCAATACTTAATCTAAATTAAAAGTCTTCTAAGTATGAACTAGTTTTCAGTAAATGCATAATTTTGCACATTTGTAAGTACATGTGGTTACTTTCTTGATGGATGCATAAGTATCTTAATTTACACTGAAGGTCACAGAAATTACATCAGCAGTTATTTCGTTCAGTGTGTTACATATTCCCCTTATACTGTAATAGAAAGAGAATTCTTGAAAAAATATGTGAATGCTCCTCGCATATTTACTGAGCAGCTTGAAATACCTTTAACTGAGGACTCCTAAAATAGATTCACAGAGGCATTAAAAAGCTACCTCCTCAAGACAACCTAGTAACCCTAATTTTACTTTCAAGTTTATTTGAAAAACTTCTTGCTTTATTTAAGAGAAATCCAGGGTAGAAAATGAAGGTTTAATGTAGTAGTTTGCCTTATTTTAGCCTAAAATTAAATTTCTTCTAAGTGTCCCTTTTTGGGCACTGAAGACAGAACATACTGCAAGGGGGGTGGCTGTTAAATGTATTACCTTTTCAAATATTTAGCCACAATGCGCAGAGCATGAAGAGCCCAGACATCACTGATGGGGTTGCTGCCTTGGTAAGCTGGTCGGTTGATTGGATTTGAAGGGCAGGGACTGCGTCGGTGTACGATTCTAGAGCATGGCTAAAAGAAAGGTTAAAAAATGAATTATTTAAGTGGGAGAGCTCCATTTTACTGCCCTGCCGCCCTTTGAATGCAGGTTCTTTTATTTACTTCTGGTGTTTAACAGCTGCCAAAAATAGAAATACAATCTCATAAACAACTGGGAAAATGCTGGGTGGGCACCTCCATAGTGCTTCGCTCTCCAACAGACACAGAGAAAGCAATCCAAACACAGTCACAATCTATCAGCTCACACCATGCTTAAAGTTAGGCTGGATCAACTGGCATCTGGCATGGTGTAATGCTTTTCACCGAAGAGCACTGTGCATCTGCAGTGGGTGTGTTTCCTTTCCGTAGGAAAAGAGGCTTTAGCGCTGGAAGCACTGGAAGCTACCTTTCTTTTAAAAGTATTGACCTTTAAAAAATTAGGAGTATGATATTTAAGCTAAGTGGAACTGCCAACAGTCTCATCTCCCGGATACTCATGAATCTGGCTACATAAAGAGGGGGCACTGCCTACATTGCGACATTTAGATGTACAAAGCTACAGACAAACCATTTTCATTTATACACGAATGCCTCGATTCCATTACAGCCGTTGTAGTTCAGGATACTTCACCAAGCTTCAGAAATCACACAGTTTCATTATACATCTATTACTTTAATATACACAGCACCCAGAAGCAAGGTAAGCTCTGGCCCTCTAAACAGAAACTTCCATGCATTTTGTGCAGTTAAAAGCTGTAGGTTTAAGATGAAAAAAATCGTGTGTCAAGTGAAAAGCACATTATGAGAGAGGTTCTGAAGATGGTCATAATTGGGCTAAGACCTGCCAGCATCCCACAAGCCTTGACAAATTTTTGTTTACACATTGTGGCTTTTATTAGAAAATCCTTGTTCTCTATTCCCTACCATGACTGTGAGATGCTCAATGCTGTCGCAGTTGTGATTAATCATCTACATGATCTCTTAAAAAGGGACACCTGGACTCTTTTGCCTGACAACAACCATCCTGGAAGCAAACAGTTTCTCCAGTGCACTGCAAAAACATTAAAATTTCTGCAAATGAATGATTTGCTTCCATACGTTCTGAGGGAGGTAGTGAAATTAAGTAAGAGGAAAGTATAACAGAGACCATCTTAACAAGAACAGGAAAGGGAGAAAAAAGATCATTCTTTTCTGCTCCTAAAATGTATTTTTTTCTACAATCACGGTAAAAATACAAAATTGTAATAAATTCAAGTAGCAGCCTACACAGAAAACTCACCAAAGCACATCAAAGCCACTGTTGGCCACTATTCGCTCAGGCATAGACAGTGTGTGTAAAGGATCAATGATGCCTAATGTTGGCTTAATGGCTCTTGAAGCGATACCTGCAATATGTAAGTGAGGAAAAGGAGTTAAAGACTTTTTGCAACAAAATGGGACAAGACAAGCTTAAGGTTCAAAACATAACAATAATGAGGGGAAACGATTTGAAACTGTGAAGATAAAAGCAAAGAGATAGAAGAGAGAGTAAGAAGTATCTATGAATCTAAGCCTTACTGATGAAGAAGTCCCTGTGAGAGAGTTGTAAGATTTGAGACGGTTGCCTGAAGTGAATTATAGCAGACAACGTTCTCTCTCCATTTGTAACCCTCCTGAGCAGCCTATACTTTCAAAATGCCTGTGCTGAATGGCATCTACAACATTATTCTTCGATTTGTATCTTCTGTGAACAATCAGAGGGCAAGACTGGTTTGTGTCTATAATCAACTTCTATTGCGAATTGCTGTCTTCAGCATCTGTAATAACCATGCCTTCATATTTTGGTTAAGGGGGCACAGATGTAGCTTTGAAAGAGAGAGACATAGAGACACGCACAGACTGACTACATACAGACTAGAAAACTCTGAGCTATGGTCAGAGCTCCTTAGCACACCCGTTTGGGTCCCAAGTACTGTAGACTATGTGGCATATAAAATCCACACGTTTAGAACTAAAACCTCAAAACACCTATGAAGCTTAAGATGACATTTTAGCCTTAATATTTATTTGCCAGGGATGAAAAGGCCAGAAGAAGACAGTGCCCCTCACTTGCACAGCATCTCAGGCCTGAGGTTTCAAAAAGCAGGAAAAGGAACATTTGGTTGCAATTACACAACAAAGAAACAGAAGTCTTAAAAGCAGAAAGAAAAATACAGAGGAAATAAGGAACAGTTGGTTGACCCTGAATGTAAGTAGAAATTTCCTTTGCAATTAACATTTTCTGCCATTTAAGAACTTGAAGGATTTTAGTTTCCTGTTTTGCCTTCAAACTATAATCCACTGTATTATATAGGTATTTCATTATGTTAATATGCTATAAATTTAATTCAAGGAGGAAACATTTAAGTTCTTCAAATTTGCCTATGGCAGTTGAATCAAACAAAATGACACCTGAAATGACATGCAGTATCCCTTTCTTTCCAGGCAGGGAAATAATGAAGACATTGGAAAAGCAATTGTCTTGAATAGCAGACAGAAAAAAAACTCACCGGTTTTTACTTTTAGTTCTTTGAAGTCAAAAATGGCAACACCAGTGGTTTCACTTCCAGTTCCAGATGTTGTAGGAACTTAAAAGGAAGAATGGGGATAACAACAAATAACAAGTAATATATAATATTGCAAAATAAATAAATAAAAACTCAATAGTAATGCCACCAAAAATATAGGATCCAGGAAATCTTGGAGGTATCCCTGATCCAAAGCCAACAGGTCAAAGAGAAACTGCCACTTTGATCTCTTTTCTCAGTAAAAGGAGTCAAACTCAGCTAAACAAGACAAAATAATGACAAAAACTGTGATTTTGCTTCCACTGAAATAAATAGCAAAATTGCTGCTGAATACAACTAGGGCAGAGGTAAGCCCAAAGGAAGGTGAAACAGTCATGGTAAACTGATTTCACTGGAAATATGATACAGAGTGTAAAACGACTCCCCTTCTCCTACCCCTCGCTCTCCACACATCCTCCTCCTGCTTTACCTGCAATAAGTGGCTTGAGGGGCACAGTGACAGGCTTCCCTTTCCCAATAGGAGCATTGACATAATCCAAGAAGTCTGATGCAGGGCTGGACGCATACAGGTTGGCAGCTTTACAGGTGTCTATTACAGACCCACCTCCAACAGCAACATAGGCATCAAACTCTCCCTTTTTAGCAAATGTAATGGCATCCAGGAAACTGGGAAAACAAGAAAAGCTTTCCAATTAGTCAGGAGAAAAACAGCACATAGAGAAACTAACTGTTAAGACCAGCACACAGGTCACAAGGAGGTGTTCAAACAGCTGTACGGCATGCTGTAAGAGCCTAGGCACTACTGCGAGAAGCACACTGTCAGAAGCAGTACCTTTGGTCTGTTGGTTCCACCCGGACATTATCATACATCTGAAAGTTTATACCATATTTTGCCAAGGAATTCAATACTGCATTTACAGGAGGGAGTTGGGAAAGGTTTTTATCTGTCATCAAACAAACTCTTCTAGCACCAAGATTCTGCAGGTCCTACAGTAACAATGAAATTAAAAAATAAACAACTGGCATAAAATCATACACTGAACTATTTAAATAGTAGTCCAAATCAACTGAACCATTTAATAATCATAAAGCCCACAACCTAGAAATAGGTGGTTATCCTAAAGTTTTTGAAACAGTCTCAGCTAAAGAGGATTAACCATATACACACAGGATGCAGAAAACAGCATAAAGTATAAAACTGCCAAACTTACATAGTTGAGATCTTATGATAGAAGAAAACTAATGATAAAGATGTTGAACAAGTGAAAACCATGTGGAACCACTTCAGACTAGAGTAAAATGTAACAGATTTTTTCGAAATATTTTTTTCCTACACAATTCATGTGACATAAAAAGGCTTTTCCACAGCTTAGGTCTCCCGTAACTGCATCCCAAAGCACGGCATTAAAATTTTGAAAATTTAATATTGAATATTAATTTATTGATGAAAAATCAAAATAAGGTGGCAAAAAGAAGAAAAATAATGCTACATCCTAACCTTTGCTAAATTAATTGTCACAATAGCTATACAAAACACGCATTTCTAACTAATCCTAAAGACAGAAGTTCTGTCTAACTTCATTTACTATCTGAATATTAATTTACAAATTTGCGAACAAAAAAGAAAACTGTTAATGCCATAAATGCCAAGCAGAGAGGAAAAAATGATAAATGAAAATTAATGGAAAGACTCTGATTCATTTTAATGAACACTGGAAGATACGAAAGTGATCTTGAGAAAATCCTGGTGAGTCACCAGGATTCAAAACTTTTTGGATTAAATTCCCTGTCAAAGAAAAATATTGTTGCATAATCCTGGCAAATCAGCAGCGATCTAATTATGCGCTAAGCTGCATTTCATGTACTCACTTATACCACAGCAACGCTGATGTAACGTGCTTCTCTTCTTTACCCAACAATATTTTCCAACCTTTTTACACTGGTATATATGACTACACATACTGCAAAGCAGTGGCAATTCAGACATACCATATATAAGCTTTCCCTTATAGAATGCATTGATAGCACCAGCCGCCCTTTAGAATACAACTTTTCCCCAGTGATGGGACTTGCACTACAGAAGCTTACCATGCCAATCTCTTTAGTAACTCCTTCTCCGTATCGGATGTTCGAAATGGCCATCTACAAAAAAAAGAACATATTTTTTCTCGAAAAATGGAGAAATGGCATCTAGTCCTAAGCAGTCAAAGTAAATATAAATATTTACTAATGTAAATATTTGTTAAATGCCATATTTGGAAGTATACAAAATACTACTTTAAAATCAAATATATTTTATTAAATGTACCTCAAATGCATAGTCTGTATTTCCCAGGGTAGGCCGTTCAGGGACTAGAACGGAAATGAAACCGTGAAATTAGGGAACAAAGTTACATCAATCTGTATCTCAATACTAGAGCTGACAGATTCCTTTGCTTTTAAAATCACTAATACATTTGCACAGGTCACCTTGGCTTGTCTGGGTAACAGTTACTCATTTTGTCCCTTGTTGTTTGTGAGATTAAATGAACCATGTACTTAATTTGATTCATTTAATTCAGCAAGAGTGTTTTTTCCTTCTTTAAGAATTAATTCCTTCCTATAAAAACTGAGTAAGTTAGCAGGAAGTTTGCATGAGAACTTGTTTGCAGTCTGCAAAGACCAGACCAGCACACAATAAGCAGAACTGAGTTATCTGCAGAGCCTACAGGCTGCTACATATAGGTTGAGAGGTGTTATGAATGTGTAGGGGTTACATGATAACCTTCAGAACAACTTTTAAGACAAATCCATGAGACATCCTCCATACACACCCGGACAGAGAACATCTTTTGTACGTGCGAGAGTAGTAGTGACAGGCGTGTACACTTCTTTTTTACTTCTGCCTAGTCCTGAACTTGCAGGTGAAACTGAATTGCTTGCTTGAAAATTAAGAAACTGCATACATTGCTAATAATAAAGAGAGTTTTAATAAGCATCGGTGTGTCACTATCAAGTTTATTTAGCATGTCATTCTTGCATGAATTTCCACAAAACTCCCCATTTCTCGCATATCTTGATTTTGCCACAAAGTGAAACAAACTGCATCAACTGAAACAGCCCATTCTTCTCCAAGAAAAGATGAGATGAGTCATTCTGCTCTTCATGCTGAAGTCATGCCTGCTGTCTGCTATATTAATTGAAAATATGCGGTTTGGATTCCGATCCAATGAGTGACGCCATGATAATGAGTCTTAGAGACACTCTGGGGTGCACTGAAGCACTGACCCACAACAGCAGCAGATAGATGTATTAAAATCCTTTATGCACTTTCTATTCAAGCCCAGGCCAGCTGCTATCAGCTCTTTCATTGCCATCTCTTGCCAGGCTGTATGTGTTTGACCTCTCCTGGAGTTTGAGTCTGCTGTACTCTCAGTCATTAATTTGACAGGCTAAGAACATGTCCAAGCCGTTTACTCTCTTGCTTTCTGATAGTATAATAGATGGCCTGCTGTTATATTCTTGAGCCAAACTTAACTTTCAGGAAAAATTTCAGCGAGTTCAAAAATTGCACTGTTTCCTCGAACACTGCCAAGAAACACAACGAACATTTTTTTTCTGCTAGTCACTGTTAAATCGATTCCCACTATTTAGAGACTTACTGAACTGATACCATCTTGCTACATTATAGACTCAATCACTGCCTAAAACTTACAGAGAGGGTTCCTACCTAAGACTTCTTTTTAGCAAGGGCTTAGTTTGAATTGACCGAGCAGGTCATCAAGCAGACAAGCAGAAGAATGAGATTCTATTTCTCAGCTGCACTATTGTCTTGCTGCACGATGGTCTTGGGCAAAACAAATAACTGAACATATATATATAGCTTTTCTGTATGTAAAATGGTAATTCTTTAAAAAGTGTCTTAATTGAAGCATGCGAAACCAAGGCACTCAGAATTACACACTGCTGAAATTATGGCCCAAAATACTAATTTTTATTGGATCTGGAAACTGGCCAGCACACAGATAGCTACTCCCATAGCCTTCCTACAGTCAGTGCAAACAGAAATTCCTCCCGGGGTGACTCGGTCACTCGGTGCAGCTCTCCTGCTCTTACTCCACAAGCCGGGCCTACGTGAGCTGCGTTCTCGTGACTGACTGTATAAAAAGCCTATGGAGATGACATTCCCCGAGCCAAAGCGAATACCTCCTTTTTATCCATATCGCTTCCTGTTTCTTTTCTAATGTAACAACAGATGCGTACTTTTTCCCCTCAAAAGCAGATCTAAAGTTGAGACGGCTCAGGTGATGACAGCAGCAGCCAGAGGAAATTTCTGATCAGCTTGCTTCACGGTAAGGGGAGGGAGGGACAGGGTGCATTAGTTGCGGCTTATGTGGAAACAGTGAATCTCTCCAACAATAGCCACTATCACTGTACAGTTGCAAAATAACAGACTGCTTACCTTGTCCTTTAAACTCTTCTCCTTCCTACCTGTTACCTGCACCCTCTGCCCAGGTTACACTGATCCGTATGGCTCTACAGGGCCGTGGTCTCCTACAGGATTATTTTTGGAGACGCGCATCAAACCTTACCTTGGGAATAAGTGTGGCCATGGCTTGGGCACCGACATCTAGTTAAAAGGGGGGGAAAAAAAAAAAAAAAAAAAAA